TCGTGCGGGAGACACGAGAAGGTGAGAAAGGACGGAGACGCGGCGGACACTGCCCTCCCCTCTGGGGTGCACTGCTGCGGCTGGCGGGTGGTGACGGGAACCCTGGGGTAATCAGGACGGCCCCACCCCACCATACTCTCCACCCCAGTAAGAGTCCTAAGAAGGTGCAGGCAATCTGTCCACTAGTGGGTCATTAGTCTCCCGTGCCCAATCCTGTGCAGACAGTGCTTCCTCAGATGTGAGTGGTCACACAATTCCCCTCCTCAGATGTGAGTGGTCACACAATGCCCTTCCTCAGATGTGAGTGGTCACACAATTCCCCTCCTCAGATGTGAGTGGTCACACAATGCCCTTCCTCAGATGTGAGTGGTCACACAATTCCCCTCCTCAGATGTGAGTGGTCACACAATGCCCTTCCTCAGATGTGAGTGGTCACACAATTCCCCTCCTCAGATGTGAGTGGTCACACAATGCCCTTCCTCAGATGTGAGTGGTCACACAATTCCCCTCCTCAGATGTGAGTGGTCACACAATGCCCTTCCTCAGATGTGAGTGGTCACACAATTCCCCTCCTCAGATGTGAGTGGTCACACAATGCCCTTCCTCAGATGTGAGTGGTCACACAATTCCCCTCCTCAGATGTGAGTGGTCACACAATGCCCTTCCTCAGATGTGAGTGGTCACACAATTCCCCTCCTCAGATGTGAGTGGTCACACAATGCCCTTCCTCAGATGTGAGTGGTCACACAATTCCCCTCCTCAGATGTGAGTGGTCACACAATGCCCTTCCTCAGATGTGAGTGGTCACACAATTCCCCTCCTCAGATGTGAGTGGTCACACAATTCCCCTCCTCAGATGTGAGTGGTCACACAATTCCCCTCCTCAGATGTGAGTGGTCACACAATTCCCCTCCTCAGATGTGAGTGGTCACACAATTCCCCTCCTCAGATGTGAGTGGTCACACAATTCCCCTCCTCAGATGTGAGTGGTCACACAATTCCCCTCCTCAGATGTGAGTGGTCACACAATTCCCCTCCTCAGATGTGAGTGGTCACACAATTCCCTTCCTCAGATGAGTGATCACACAATTCCCTTCCTCAGATGGCAGTGATCACATCTCCCCATGACGAGGGACGGGCACAAGGTGCAGGACGAGTGAGCAGGTAGGGGGCCTGGCTGGGGAAGGCCCCGCGGTGGGGACCCGATGAGGCTGCGAGCGTGGGGGGAGCACTCCTGCATAGCTCTCTGGAGAAGAACTCAGGTGAGACAACAAGGCTGAGAATTCAGGCTGCTGGGGACAGAGGGGAAGTGGGACTAGAACGAAGAGCACAGAAAGAGCAAAGTACAGTCCCTGTACTTCGAGGTACAGGGACTCAACACTCGCTCCCAGCAATGAGCTCCATTTTCCATTCTGACCAAGGGACAGGCCTACAGGGTGCAGACGTACCTGTATGTATCCCATGTTCCATCTCCTGTATGAAGTCATCTGCACAGGCAGCCCGCACGGCGGCCATCACCTCGTCATCCTCACAGTGCTTCAGCCCATACGCAATGTTGTCCCTCACAGAACCCGAGAACAGCACCGGCTCCTGCCCCACCAAGATCGGG